TTGACAGGCAGGTGAGCCTGGCACAACAGCCCCAGTCACTTTGAACCCTGACTCTCCACTCCCTCCCCTGCCTGTCCCATCTTTCCAGCACTCACATTGCCCTTGACGATGTAGTTGGAGTCATTCATGATGTCCCTAGCCAGCCCGAAGTCCCCAATCTTAGCCACACGCCCACTGGTCAACAGCACATTCCGAGCTGCCACGTCCCGGTGGATGCACTGAGGGAGAGTGAGTGCAGGGTTGGTCCATTCTGGCCTTGCCCCAACCCGAGCCCAAGGTGGGGAGGAGCAGGAGGGCCCCAGAAGGCTCGAGGGAATAGACATCAGTTAGGGTTCTCTCCCAGGGATGCTTGCCCTGTCTCCTACCAAGGCCCAGGCTCAGAGCATGTAACAAAAGCAGTTTGACATTGGGATCACCATCGCCCTGAGCTGCCAAGGCCCACCTAGCTCTTTGTCTCCGGGCTGCAGAGACACCCAGAGCTGGGAGGTCGGCTCAGGCCCCAGAGCAATGAGCCCTGTACTGTGGGCCGTCTCTGGCCAATACCTACTAGTAACGGCTGCTCCCTTCAGCGCCGTGCTATGTGCCAGGCCTCACCCTGACATTTGCAAGCATTGTAACCCTGTCTTACCTTCAGACTATTCTGGGATCCCCCCCATATGTGTGGGTATAAGAACCAGGGCTTAGAGACTAGCATGGTCACTAACAGTCACACGGCAAGTGGCAGGGACAGCAATCAAATCCTAACTCCCATGTCCGTGTTCTAAGGATGATGGTAAGAGCCCCATTCCCCGGGCTGAGTGTATTTTATGCATCATCCCTGGTGTCCTCACGCTCCCTGACGCAGTTTCTGTTATCCCCATGGCACTGCTTCAGGAGGGAGACCACAGTCTTGTTTACTGTGCTGGAAAATGGTGTAGCGGTTACATCCCTGGACTCCTGCATGGCTGACCATGGTTCAAGTCCTGGACCCAGTGACTTGAAACACACCAGGCACATGCATGTGTGCCCAAGATCCCAGGAGGAGAATGGAGGAGAAGGGATTGCGGCATGGCCACTGGGGGAGTGAGTTTTCACTTTCCCTCTCACTGTCTCTGTTTCTCTCTCTCAAGAGTACATGCACCTTAAGGCAAAAATCTCTACCAAAAAAAAAATAGAATGACTAAAGCCTATTCTTGAGCCGTGGCACTCCCCAGCCTTCTGCACCTGGGCTCTGCCCTGGCCGTCCCACCCCTGCTGTAGGAGCTCGCCCTGGGTGCAGCTTCAGCCCACCTACTCTTGAGGCCCCTAGGCCGCTGCCTGCCTGCTTTCTTGTACCCTGGCTCCCCACCTCCCCCTCACACTCCCTTCCTCCCCCTACCAGGGACCTGGGTTCCCACAGACTGGGACCCAGTTACACTCACATTCTTGGATGCGAGGAAGGCCATGCCCTGGGCCACTTGGCTGGAGAAGTGGAGCAGGTCCCGGAGCTCTAGTGGCCGGCTGTCCTCCTTGTCCAGGTCTAGGGGAGAAGAGGCATCAGGGCAGCCCCACCATGCCCTAACCCTTCCTGGGTGCAGCCCCAGCCCCGTCAGCCCCCCTCTCCTTTCCTCTCCTCTCCGCTCCTGGTACCGCCTCACCTTGCTCAGAAAAGGAGTCGTTGGAAGACGTGGACACGGGCCTCATCTCCACATAGGTGTCCACACCCTGGCTGGAGAAGCCGCTGTCCCTACATAGGAAGGTTGGGAGGGAAGACGGTCAGACCCATCATGTGCTGCCCTCCTCACCCCTTAGCCTTCTACTGTGCCACGAGCTCCCCTGCCCGAGCCACTCAGCAGGGACAGAACGAGACCTTCATGTTACTCCAGCATCCCCTTTTCCTTTTTGATGAGAACCGCCCTGCCACGTTGTGAGTGATCAATGATCTCGGCCTGACCATTCCCAGTGGGGGAGCTCACAGCCCTCCTGTCTTGGGCAGCTCTGCCCGTTAGCCCTTCGCTGCTCTTGGTGTCAATCTGGGGCTGACACCCGGGATTTTCCTCCTCTGGCCCTTGCTCTGCCCTCAAGATCCACAGCGCAGTTGTCACCTTCTTCCCCACATAAGCCCTGCCGGGCTTTGAGCATATTCAAGAGCCCCTTGTTTGAGTCCTCTCATAGACAGTGGCTCTGCTCCCTGGGGAGCGTGTAATACTCTCCACGTCCAGACCCATTACCTAGGAACTGTGTGGGCAAAACTCAGCGATTCACCGCGTCGCTCTGTGTGATCAAGTGGCCTGCTGCAGCCTGGTCGAGGCGACTGGTCTAGAGTACTGCTTTAACTAGTTCAAGTGCAGCAGGAGCCCCTGGGCACTCCCACCGAAGTGCAGATGGACTCGGCAAGTCTGGGTAGTCGGCCCGAGATAGTGCATTTCTTTTTCTTTCCTTTTTTAGTATTTTAATTGCCACAGGGCACACGTGCCCACCAGCGAAAGAGAGAGAGGAAGAAAGCACCCTCCCCGAGGGGCATGGTTACACCCACAATCTGTTCCTCCTTTCTCCATCCTATTGGGACTGGGAACATGCATGCACACACAGACAGCATGCTTTTCAAGGCACCGGGGCCAGGGTGCAAACGTGGTAGGCTATGTGGGATCTGGCTCCTTTGACCACCAGGCAACAGGGCTGGTCCCGAGATGGTGCATTTTTAACAGCCCCTTTGAGCCCACATTCTAGGTAGCGAGCAAGTTTGGAAAGCACTATTCTATAGTAAATAGCCATTGTTTCTTCTAACATCGCAGCCAGCACCTCTCGCCCCGCTGTTCCCTCGGCCCTTGAGATGTGAACATTGGCAATATCATCACTAGTGCGCCCAGAAAGAGCACCTCATGTTTTATTTGTCATCTGACCATGGAAAACTTACCCCCTTCCTGTTCCAGAAACTACGTTTCTCATAATGTAGCCGGGGCTTCCACTGGAAGGTTTGGTCCACCGGTCATTTGCCCTCGAAATTACCCTACTCCGGGTCTGCAGGTGGCAGAGTGGTTAAGCTGCTGAACTCCCATATGGCTAACCATGGTTTGAGTCTCGGACCTGCCGGCTTGCTTTCTCATTTTCCCTCTTTCTCTCTCTGTCTGTCTCAGGTCAAATTGAAACATTATAGTAATAAAATTTAAGACAATTCTTTTTTTTTTTTTTGGAGAGGCTTTTTTGCTATAGGGCACGTGTGCTCACCAGAAAGACAGAGAGAGACAGAGAGACAGAAAGCGAGAAATCACCCCCCAGGGGGGATGGCCACGCCGCAATCCCTTCAACTCCATTCTCCTCTTGGGATCTTGGGCATGCATGCACACGTGCCCAGTGTGAATTTAAGCCACCGGGTCCAGGACTTGAACGGAGGTCGACTACATGGGAGTTCAGCAACATAGCCATTACGCGAACTGCTGGTCTCAAAATTTAAGACAATTGTTAAAAAAGAAAATAAATTGCCGTAACTGGGGAAGACTTTCCCCATCGGGTTTGAAGGTGGAAGCAAACACTGTTCTTGGGCACTCGGTATCATCTGACCTGAGGTTCCTGCCTGCTGAGGCCAGCGTGTGCCACCCTTTCAGGGGGATATCAACTGATAGAGGAAGCAGGCCCTACCGGGCCCCCATTTTTGAGGACACTGGGTAAGGAGAAGTGACCCCCTCCCTCGTCATCACCCCAGGCTTGGCGCTGACAATACTTAGGCTAAGAGTTCTGATCCTGGCTCAGCCCCAGCAGGCTGGCCCTGGGGCCCCAGAAGGCCATGTGCTGCAGGACAGGAGTGTGGCTTGAATGCACCCTGGGCCACAGCCTACTCCACCCCACCTCTTCTCTTGATATGTGTGACATTGTCACTTCCTCTCTCTGGTTCCCCATGTGGCCCTGCCCCTGATGGTTTCCAGGAATCACAGCATCACAGAATGACAGAGCCATGAAGACCCTGCGAGGTCAGCCTGGGGAAACCGAGGCCCAAGTGCACCAGGGACCCAGCCACAGCCGGGCAGCATTGCCTCCTTAAATCCAGCAGCGAACCCTCTGTCTCCAGTTCTGCGTGGCAATGTGGGGAACGGTCGTTGGCTACTCCTGAGTGGCATGAGGGCTCTGCGGTCCCCACAGCACTTGCTCTGGGAGGAACAAGGGCTAGGGTCCAGGCAAGGGCCCTGGTCAGCCTCTTACATTTCATTAACTCTTGTGTCCGGCAGCATCAAGCTGCCTGTCTGTGCTGCCACATCCCTGGAGCATCCCAGGTGCTCCAGTCATTGTTGGATAAGGGAATCAGTGGTGGGAAAGCAAAGCTGCCCACGAAACCAGGCTGGCTGCTCTCTGAGGCACAGCTGGGAGGGTAGGGCCGCAGAGCCACCCCACCTGAGCTGGCTTCGAAGACCGACCAGAGCCCCCCTCCCCAACCCAGCCTTCCTGCCCTTTGCCAGGTCCTACCTGCGGACGTATTTCTTCTCCAGGTGGATGTTCTTGTAGCCAGCGTCTCCCACAGGGTCAGGGCCTGGACTCAGACTGGGCTCCAGCATGGCCTCAGCCTTCCTCCTCAGGAAGTTGAGCAGGTCGCCATAGCAGCAGTACTCGGTGATGACCAGGACAGGGCCTACAGCAGCCAGGAGTGGGGGTAGGGGTGAGTGTATCCCCTGTGTGAGCAATGAAGGCCCCAGCCCGGGACTCAACCTTTTCTGGGTGCCCTGTGCTCCTCAGTACCTGAGGACTACTAACTAGCACCAGAGAACTCTGTCACCATAAGTAGCTCCTGACTAGTCCAGGAGACTGGCTGGGAATTTAAAGGAGGCTGATACAGGGACCCCACAGGCACTTGGAGGAGATGAGAACATGGCGCTGGGCCTTTCAGACACTCCGAGAGCCCCCAAGGGCTTGGGCCCCTCCTGCCGGGCCTCACCTCCGCGGGT